AAACTGCAGCAACAAGTTCGCTCTTCTTCTTCCTCTTTTTGCTGCTGCTATGGGCGCATATAACTCAGTGACGGAAGTTTACCTGGGTACAGGGTATTACACTGTCGGGCTTGCTCGACTGTAGCGTTCTCTCTTGTTATTTCTAGGCTGTTCGCAGATTCGACTTGCGAATCAATAGCAACATATGTCTGTAGCTAACAAATAATTCTCCTTAGTTCAAAGGGAACACAAACAAGAGAGAATGCTACAGCCCAGCCAGCCCGCCAGTGAAATACACTGTACCCAAAGAAAATTCCGCCGCTGAGTTACAAGCGCCTATAGCCAGAAGCAAGAAGATGACGAATAAAAGCCAACTTGATTCTGCAGTTTGTGGGCGTACTACTGGAAGAAATTATTTCGAAATAACTATTCTTAGTATTGCCCAATCTGGATAAAGAAATTGAAAGGACAGTATTTTATTTACGTGGGCAAGTTTGTTTATTTATTTATTTAAAGTAAAATCAACTCGCACGGTCAATAACAATTATACACCGTGTCGTGTTGCACGTAAAACAAGTGGAAAAGCATAGGTTGGGTGCCCCGACTTTCAAATACTCTGTACTTATGTCTATGCGTGTCTGCGCTTAAGCATACGTGTATTAGACATCTGCATAGCTTCACTCATAAGCTCCGTTGAAAAGAATGGAATCGAATTGAGTTGAGTTGAGTAAGTAGAACGCGGAAAATGAAATGAAATTGCATCAATATGAGTGCGTCCTGGATCTCAAAGCATACGACATTCAGTCAAATGAGTGAGAATAGATAACACGCAGTGAAAAATTTGACAAAGCGGAAAACATTCGAGTTATTCGAGTTGTTGTATACGAAATCTAGGCATTCATTTAGTGCTTGGTGTTCGACGAAAGCGTATGCGCGTATTACGAAGCAAATATGGATGTACTAATAAAGGAAGCCGACGAGTTTGTGTGTATTTTGTTTTTCTTATAGCCAACAACAACAAAATACAAGGTTTGACTGGATGACAAGACAAGTCGATCTAGCCCTGTCTGTCCGTCTGTCCGCCTGTCCGTCCATATGACCACCTATATCTCAGAGACTATAAGAGCTAGAGACACCAAATTTTGCACAAAGATGTCTTATGTGTGTACGCTATACGAGTTTGCTTTTTTTTTTGAGTTTTGGTTCATCATTGGCAGGCATACACTCACATAGACACATTTCCTATGTAAATGTCTAATTACACAATTCGAATACCAAGGGTAGTAAATTTTTCTTTTAATTTTCTTAATTTTTAAAATTCCTATAATTCTTCTACACATATGTACGGAGTATTTCAAAATCGGGACATCCGCCTTTAGCTTTTCTACTTGTTTCACTTCCCTTATATACTCTTGTACCTTTTAGTATAAAAATCCAGCGCATAGCCATATGTAGTGAAAAATTATTCAACTTGATCATAATATTTATATACGTATGTTCTTTTACCGTCACCTAAAGTCCGTCCGTCGGAAGGGCAGCTTGGTTTCTTTGTTCGTTTCATACCAGTATCTCCATATTATAAAACAAGAGATGTTTATTTTCACATTTATAAGGTAGCGCAAGCCAAATTACAAAGCACTATGCCATTATTTCAAAACCATTAGAATAATGAAACTGTTGGGGTTAAGAGATGGCACGAATTTGTCCAAGATTGCTTCACACACCATCGCAAAATTGATGCTGAGGTCAAGTGTGCTTGAAACATTTATTATCTGAGGTTGAGTGCATGTGTGTATACTGCGGATACTCGTACATGTGCTCCGGTCGGTTTGACTAGTTACATACTTGTAGAGTTGGGGCCAATTACTTCAGCAGCCGCTTAAGTCTAATGCTGAATGGAGCACTTTGCCAACAAGCGGAGCAAACGCGAGATGGCAGCTGGGAGCGAAAGGGTGCTAGTCGTCGCGGTCCGCTAAAGCGCCAAAATGTATGCAATGGCAATTCTTATTTATTTATGCGAAAGCTCCTTTGTTCTTGTCGCGCGTATTCATATCCATTAGAAAAATATTTGCCAAGCTCTTTGAAGTGCTTCGGCTCGAGTTCTGCCACTGGAATTCTGAATTGTTGGTGAAGTGGTGGCTGGCTGAAGTGGTGGAGTGGTCGGGCACATGTCGTATACGCAATGTTATCTGCCGCGTGCAGGGAATTGAATTGAACGAACAAAACTACAACTATAGCAACAGTATCGGAATGCACAGTGGCAACAAATGAAATTAAAAACTATCAGTGTTGCGTAAAGAGGGCTCAGTAAGCCATTCATTCGAATTGCTTGATCAACGACATGCACATAATGTCGGGCAAAAAGTGACCCAAAAAAAAAAAAAATAAGTAAATTAATATCAAATAAATTGACAAGTTTGTACCCAAGGTAAAATAGTGTTTCCAAATCGAATTTGTTGTCTTGGGAAGTTATTTAAAGCTCCCCATTATAATGTGATATAAGGAGACTCCATAATGAATACTCATAGTGACACTTCTTTAACGGTGTAGGATAGCAATAAATTAGGAGTTAACAATTACTAAATTAATAGTACTAGCCAGAACGTAACAATTTTCTCAGTTTTTTTCTGGGGTTGAGCTCAATTTGTTGTAATTATAAATAGTTTATAAATATGAAGTTGTTAGAAGGCGGCAGCTCATAAGTATAGTATGTATGGACAATGACAAAATAAAAACTGAAAACATGAAAAGGCTTTGAAAATTCTCGCAATTACCAAAAAACAAACTGTAAGTATGTTCGTATCACAGCTCTTCTTAGTGATTCACCGGAGGAGCAAGGACGATTACTACCATAGCGTTTTATGGTAAATAAGTAACTGCTTACTCTTAAACCATGCCTCGTTCTCTGGCGCAGTCCCAGCCTAAGTCATGGACTCAGTTTTTGTCGATATGAGTAGCTCTGCTGGGATTGTTGGCGCAACTAAATTGTGTGATCGACTATGCACAAGTGGAAGTAACTATTAAGACTCAATCAAGTGTAAGCTTGCTGAAGCTGAAGTGAGTTTTGATTAAAAATATAACAATTTGATATTCTTAGTAACGCCCATATGGTAAATGGGGAAGTGCTCTCAGGCGGAAAAAGTTGAAATACCTGAACTAAAAAGTTAAATAGTGCTGGCATTTTGTGTAATATAAATGTAATGTATGACGACCTTTAAGTTGTCCGTTTGACATAATAGCATAGCAGTGGCAGCTAATTCTGTTTCCGCACAGCAAATGGCCCTCTAAATGCAATTAATGCCCTGCAGACTCGTCGTAGCAAATGGCAAAATGAGAGCACATTAGTTAGGAAATAAACTGATTTATATACATTGTACACATGTAAATATACAAGTATTGCAATTTCAAAGTCGACGCAGGCAGTGGGATGTTGGCCCTCAGGGGACTTTGAACTTTCAACAACTACCAACTAACAACTTCCACCTACAACGTACGAGTACAGGACGCTGCGCACAGGAGCGATGGTCTGGTGGTCTTCATGCAAATTATTGAATAACAGAGTCAACTCACGACCTTCCTCAGCTTCGCCATCATCCGCAGACACATATTGGGATTGGGATTGGGTAAGGTTAGTTTGCGATGGCTTCATGTTGGGTGTCCAGCGCAGACAAACTGATGTGGGTTTTTAACTGCCACACGAAAACCAACTCGCATTCACACGAAGACCCAAACCTACACCCACACCTACGAGTGTTTGTACACTGATAAAAAAAACTGTGCACACTTCAATTTCAATATTAATATTAAAATATTAAATTTAAAGTGTGACGATATTAAATCACAAGTGATGATGTGGACGTGGCTTTGAATCACGCAAAAGGTTTATTTTTTATAATTATAAAACATTTTTCCCACTTTTTTCTCCACTCTACTGTATTTAACGCTTTTCAATAATGATATCTCCATAATGCATATTTTATATAAATACACCTAATTCTGTTTTTACACGGTACATCAGATCCAGGAAAAACAGTGTAAAAAAGACATTGATCATATGCAAAATAGGAGATTGGTTCATTATCAAAATGCATTTTTTTAAAGTTATTTATGCCTTTTACTATACATGGTTTGGCTCAAGTGGAGAAAATCTGACTAAATACTGATTAACACATACCTAACGATCATAAATGACAAGGGATTAGGTTACACTTTGTATTTATACCACACACCCGCTGAAAACCGACTTGAGAATTATAGTCAATGTTTGTCTCTTTTCTACATTAAAAAAGACGATTTAACTATTAAAAATATTAAAGTTGAATATATTTCTAGAATGTTTAAATCGACCATAAAAAACTTCAAATTAGTGTTGAGAAAAATATTAAAATTGAGTATTTAGTAAATTTAACTATTTGTTATTTGAAGTGGGCGCACATTAAAATTAAATATGGTCCAACATTAAATTGAACCTGACACATTTAAATGAGAAAGATTTACACTTTGTTTAGAAAATGATTCATATTTAAATCAGTAATTGAATACGTTGGTAGTTAAATTTACGTTGTTTTCATTTGATTTGAATATGAAACGGTAGAACATTAAATTTAATATGATTGTATTCATTTATGCTATGGAACTTTTTTCGAGTGTACGAGCATGTACAATAGACAAGCATTGTTCTCCCGCTCTGAGAGGCAGACTGGGGGCGTGTGCATGTGTGTTTGCCTTTTCACGCTTCAAATGCGCAAGTAAATTAAATTCTTTTGTACTGCGCTGAACTCTATTGTGGCAGGGTGGGGGGCAGGGGGAGGGGGTGCCTGCAACGTGCGGCAGAACAAGTATAAAAGCCAAGGCATAACTAAATTAGCACCCACACAAATGCACACGCAGATACACATGTTTAAAATAGGAAAATACTTATATACGAGTATGTGTGTATACAATAAAAAGAAAACAGCAGAAGCGTGCCAAACCCTTTTCAAAAGCTCCATCTTTTTCTCCCACTCTCTCCCTCCCGCGCTATGGCAGCAGCTGAAATGAAAACAGGCGCCTATTTCGAGTCTCCAGCCCGCCCGGCGCCCGTAATCCAGGATAATCTACGCACATTCCTCAGGCATTTGTATGCCGAGTGCGCTTATCGTTACCAAAACGATTCGCTCGAGTCTGCGCTAAACCAGAGCACCACAGCAACAGGTTTGTCCCCATATCCATATCCATACACACGTACAGACATCGACTATTTGCCGGCTACTCTTTGATTTTCTGTCTCTCCGTCTCCTTAGGCTATGATGATGTGGACTTGCCAGAGGAATACACAATCATGCCGCCATATATGGAGGAGGCCATATTCAATGGGGGGGCCATTGATATTCAGGATGTGGACGAGGCCGCCGCTAAGAATAACGAGCTCTATGCGACTGTCATGACGGCAACAATGGCGCCAAATCAGCATGCCACTAACATCAGCAATCAGAATGGCAGCCAGGCAGGACCTCTTGGCGCTGCCCGGCGGCTCTTTTGTCCCGTTAACTTCGACGGATATCTCTGCTGGCCACGCACACCAGCTGGCACTGTGTTGAGTCAGTATTGTCCAGATTTTGTCGAGGGCTTCAATACCAAATTTTTAGCGCACAAGACGTAAGTTTCATTTGGATTTCAATTGTGATGCTGACGCAGTTTTCCTTAAGAGGTTTTGTATACCTGTATTTGGTTGCAGTTGCCTGGAGAACGGTTCCTGGTACCGCCATCCGGTAAGCAATCAAATCTGGTCCAATTACACTAACTGCGTGGACTATGAGGACTTTGAGGTAAGTAGCGCAGCGAAGAACTATACGCGTATAAGCTGACTTTTTAATCCACCAAATGGTACTTGGCAGTTCCGTCAGTTCGTTAACGAGATGTACGTTAAGGGATATGCGCTCTCCCTGCTCTCCCTGCTCATATCAATTATCATTTTTCTTGGCTTTAAGTAAGTACACCCATGGGCAGCACACCCAAACCCAAACCCACACCCACACCCAATCGCACCATTTCATTACAACGCATCTCCTTAACGGGTCAACAGATCCTTGCGCTGCACTCGAATACGCATTCACGTGCATCTATTCGCATCGCTGGCCCTTACGTGCGTCGCCTGGATGCTGTGGTATCGCTTTGTGGTGGAGCAGCCCGGTTTGATTGGCGAAAATCCGGTAGGTAGCATTATCTGCCATGGTTGGCATGATATTTCTTACAAGCACACATATTTTATTAGCTGGTAGCCGCAAGATAAAGAAAAAGATCTATTAACATTTATGGCACAAAGGAAGTACCTGATTATTATTCATTTTTACACCATGTATTTCGTGTGTCCAGGATTGAATTCTAGGGTCATGCGGGCACTCTTTAAGTACCTATACCCAGTTACAAAATAAACAAGAGAGAGCGCTACAGTCGAGCAAGCCCGACTGTGAAATACCCTGTACCCCCCTGTCCGACAGTAGCAGACAGAAAGAAACCTCTCCGACCCCATAAAGTGTATACTCGTATATTATTATAATTATTCATTTCTTTGAATAAGCAAATCATTTTTATAGCCTGCAAAGGATAAAAGGCTATACTAGTTTTGTGCGAAAGTATGTAACAATGTATGACAAGACGAGTCGATATACAAGTAGTCTTGTCCATCTGTCCGCCCGTCCGTCCGTCTGTATGAACGCAAGGATCTCAGAAAGTACAAGAGCTAGAATAACCAACAGAATATCCACATTCTCCTGAGTCCGACAAAGGACGAGTTTCTGTTTTTTCCGTTCCCCTTCTCCCATGCAGTTAGCGATTTTCCATAACTTGGAATTTTGAACTCAAATCTGGCAAGTATCTGCATTTTGTAAAGTAGGAACTTCCACTTCAAACTAGAAAAAGATTTGAAATCCAGGTAGTGGAATGGGTGTGCGAAACAAGATACATCAGTTATAAGGCAGCTTTAAAATTTATTAAATTCTTAACAATTCAGCAAATAAATAAAAGTTGCATCTGCAGCATTGACTAATTATTGGGTTTTTGTTGGTATTTACAGCCATGGTGCATTGCGCTGCATCTGGCGGTGCACTATTTTATGTTGGTGAATTATTTCTGGATGTTCTGCGAAGGCCTGCACCTGCATCTTGTGCTCGTTGTGGTAAGTCGCATTCACATGCAAATTTCAGAGATGGTGCTGCACGTTTCATAATTCAGTTACATTTGGGTGGTAGAGACAGGAGGAGCCGAGAGGCGGCAGACGTTGCACATACAAGTGTATAATATGTACATATTAAGCATATATGATTAGGTTTATCTGCCACTCTTTATATGGAAAACTAGCAAGGAAAGTTTCCCACAAAAATAGTGGCAGCTGCGTTTCTGCTCAGACACTTGACGGCTACTGCCCCTGTTCTGGTGCCATCGAAGGCAAAGATGGGGCTGTGCGGTGGAGTGAGTTGCACAACTATTTTTGACATTGTGTTGTTTTTGCAGGTCTTTGTCAAGGACACGATTGTCATGCGTTGGTTCAAGCTGCTCAGCTGGCTGTGCCCGCTCCTGTTCGTGGTGCCATACGGAACGGCTCGATACTTTAGCGCCAGTGACAATGCTCAGTAAGTAGCTCAGTTCATATCTCTGCTCTATAAGTAAATATGATCCAACACACTCCTCCACCAACAGCTGCTGGATCGATGACAGCCTCCTCCTCTGGATCTTCTCAGTGCCCATCACACTCTCGCTTCTGGCAAGCTTCAGTAAGTGCAGAAAGTCATAGTTCATCCTAGTTCATCCTAAATTCCTTCTCTTCTGCTCACAGTCTTTCTCATTAACGTTCTGCGCGTAATTGTGCGGAAGCTTCATCCGCAGTCGGCTCAACCAGCACCATTGGCTATTCGCAAGGCAGTGCGCGCAACTATTATTTTGGTAGGTCCTGCCACAATTGCAGTTGAGGAAAATGGTAAAAGCCCATATTTGCACTCTTTGCAGGTACCGCTCTTCGGGCTTCAGCAATTCCTGTTGCCCTATCGCCCCGATGCCGGTACACAGCTTGAGCGCTTCTATCAGCTGCTCTCTGTTGTGCTAGTCAGCCTACAGGGCTCCGTAGTCTCGTTCCTGTTCTGCTTTGCCAACCATGATGTGACATTCGCCATGCGCACGATGCTCAACAGGTGGATCCCCAGTTTGGTGGCACCTCCGCCTCCCGGGAGTAATACTGGACAAATGGCAACCACCACTCCCAGTCGCGAGTTGGGCGTTTAAGTTGATCGGCTCGCACCTAGGCGGGCAAGTAGACGAGAAGTACGTGCCATATCAGTTTCGACGAGAACGGGAACAAAGATGTTGAAATATAAATAATCACCAAATATATACATGCATACTCGTAGTATGTAACAAAAGTTCGGGTATTATAAATACTCAGCATTATCCACGCATAGCTACGCAATGTACCTAAGCGGTCCATGTTTCCACCCACTGTGTAGAACATAACCAATGTCATATGTGAAGAAAGTATATCAACGTTGCTGTTAGCTTAAAAGTCAATCTACTCCTATACAAATACATATGTATTTATTACGCGTCTAAGTCGCTCTTGGGTAGCAAGGGCGTACATAACTCAGTGTTTCGAGAAAAATAACTGTAGTCGAGTAAGCAATTTTTTTTTGCATTTAAAATATGTATTACTGCTTGATGCACTAAGGCTAAACATGAAATGGTTTACGCAAAGAGCGAAAGTATTTACTTAGAAAACATACTATACATACTTACATATACAAGTACCTATTTATCCGAGTACAAATAAATCAGATTACCTGAAACCAATGGCATTTTTCTTCTTCTTCAAGTTCATATCTTTCAAGGCACTGAAATATATAATAAACATAAATAAATACATGTCTAAGCAGCTCATTACTTGGCACTTTATGGAAAAATATCTGCAACTCGTTCGTTACACTCACCAATTCATTGGCTAGGGCGATAGCGGCCCATCTTTTAGAAACATTGTATCGTATATTACTTCTGGGAATTGCATTGAAACTTCGCTTGGCAATTTTCTTGTAATAAATATTTCCGATAAATATTTCAAAGAAGATTGGCGAATCGCTAGTTGAGACTTTCATCTCGATATATAACCCGATATTGAAATCGCTTCAAATACCTTGGCATAATTAAATGTTTTCAACCGAAGAGTATTATTCAGCAGGGAGGTCAAGCTGAGATTAAAGCATCATTTTATTATTAACAGATATATACTTGTACATATATTAGTTTATACATCTGCGCCAACAACAAAAACAAGTATGTTCTTATGTTTTCTATTTTGAAAAGAGATGACTGCCAGTTTCATGAAATGCTTTAAATGGCACTGTGTCAAAATCAAAAGATTTCTGATATTTAAGACTGAAGTTATGATTTTGCATTTAAAGCTGTTAGTAGAACGATAAAGTCGAGTGATGCCGACCCTTTTAGAGCAATACCCACCATATTTGTCCTAAAGGGTGCGTAATTGTAGTTATCACACAATCAAATATGCTCGTAGTATATGTGCTATAATTTCAGATTTCCAGGAAATGTAATAAATGGGACCTGCAGAAAAATCTATGAATTCCATTTACCCTTCAGGTGTGAAATATAACTAGTATGCCCTTTTACCATTTTAAATATTTTACATGTTAAATAAATGTTAATTTTAATCATTATGATCGCAACAGGCCGAACCCCTCTCCTCTTTAGAAAGCAAAACTATGTCCCATACCATTAAGTTCTATTGTTAAATACCGACTCACACCTGTAAGAACCTGTCAATAATAAGAATTTTCGTGGTTTTCCTTTCCATTTTATTTCAATTTCACGTTGTTACTTTTTTTAATACACCATCATTTTGTTGGCATTTTCTTGTTTATTTATGAAAGGGTAAAAGAGTGTAGAACAAAACTAATACATACAATAAAATACAAATACAATAATCATTATGCATACATTCATATATAATTCATATAAATTGTATATATCTATATATATTTATATATAAATATATAAATATAAATAAATATTTATATATATATTTATATTTATATATATATATATACGAGTATATATATTTTTTTGGTAAGTAAAGATGTTGTAATAATTTGTTCGTTCTGCATTAATATGCATTCAAAAGTGTCTTTCTCTGCTCCTCCTCTGCATACTTGTATTTCTTTACTCGTCGTATTCATGTAAACCTATATCTCCAATATGAGAATGCCCTTCATTTGCATCTGTTCCTAGTGGATTTATAGTTCAACTGTCTTGTCATGCTTTTTATTGTGTACGTTGTAGTGTGTGTGTATGTGTGTGTCTTTGGTTTATATGTCTTGAAATATGTATTCCTGAAGATGTTCTCATACCGCTTGTGACTTTAGGCCTTGAAATTCTATATATTTGTAGATCCATTTCAATTGGAGGCATATGTATGTACTTGTATATTTATATTTCATTAATTTTAAATTTAATTTTGTATTGTAAGTACGTATATACACATGCAAATGTATATAGACTATAGACTCTATAATAAGTTAGATAAAGATTCATGTTGCTGCGGTTTTGCTGCTGGATGTGTATGTGTATGTGGACTATAGTATATCAAAAAATATGGGCGTATATAATTACGAAAATACACATTAAGCGTTCATACTACAATTTATCAAAAGTTACATACATAATATCAATGATAATGATGAACGCACAAATTAGCGTAGACAATTAAGTTAAGTACTTACATAAGAGGCATACTCGTAACTATACGTAGTACACATACATGTATGGTTATACCTAGAAAGATCGGCGCACATACATACATCGCTATGGATCAGCTGTGTAACTGATTATGGACAATTATTATAATACATAGCATCTAGACCCGTGCACATAACCAAATATATAGACAATGTTGAATACTGGTAAGTACATAAATAATTGATAATACATACATAGGTTGGCATTGTGAACTTCTTATTAATTAGTGACCCTACTTGGTTAGTTAGTTTGGTTAATGTTTAAGTTGTTGTTTTGTTTTTGTTTTTAGTTTTAGTTTTGGTTTTGGTTTTGGTTTTGGTTGGGGCTTTTTACTGTCACTCAACTACTTATGAATAAACATTTTACGTTAGCTTACATCTGTATTTACTCGTATTTTTGTTATCTTGTGCTTGGGCGCGTTCTGTTGACATTGCGGCTACGTATATATGTATGAGTTATCGTATGGTTTGCAATCATTAAACATCTTGCAATCAGTTAACATTAAGTTTTCTTTTGTTTAGGCTTAATCGGCACATTCCACTACGAAGTGTTGAGATAGCATTGAGACAGATGCAGTGAAAGAGATGGAGGCAGGAAATGAAGGAAAACTAATGGATGCGCAATACCCGTATATGAAAATCCATTTTTAGATTTACATATAACAAGTGATTATTAATTAATACACTCTCCATAGCCGAAAAGGTCACACAAATTTCTATGATCAATCGAAATAAATGAATTGTCTAATTTATGAAGAAAATCGACTGTCTCAATGCACTAGTTTCAAAAGGGCCTTTTGCTTTTTGGGGTAGCAGTCTGATAGCTATATACTTGTAGGTTCAAAGTTTAAGACACAGTATCATAATAATACAAAAGGTTATTATTATTAGAGAAGCTACTTTAAAAGGTACAATTTAATAAAGAGAATACTGTTAGAATTGGGTAGTTTTAATAGTTTTTAACACAGATTAGAATCGCAAAACGTCTATTCCAAACGTCGTTCCAGGTCTTTATGCATAGATAACAAGGAAGAAAGTAATCCCTTGGAGAAATATCAACTAGTGACGATGGAATTATTCTGGAGTAATATACCGGTCTTTTAAAGTCAGCTTTCGTTTTCAATATATAAATATTTCAAAGGAACAAAACTCCAAGATCGTGCACAGTAGCAATGCAATTCAAAAGTATTACAAGAAGACTAAATAAGGCTTTAGGTGAAAGGAGAGATTATACTGTACGCAAAGTTCTGGAAACAATGTGCGTTGGAGAAGGTTTTAGAATTGAGTTCTTTGTGCATCGTAGAGATATATTTACCCGTAGCTCTAGAAGTATGCTATAAATTTCTAATTCAATAGCCATGATGAAGTCCGTCCATAAAGCATTCAACATTTTGAAGACTCACCCCTCAGGCGAATTCATGAAGTTTTTTTTTTTGGGCTTTGACAAAGAAAAATTAACCACAACAAAAAATAATGACTAGTTTTTTTGGTTTAGAAATCACTGATTGCTTTGAGCCCCCCAAATAGTTTTGAATGCCGACCATATACCTTTTTTATAAGAAAAAACGATTCCATTGAGGAAGAAGAACTGTAGGATCTCGAATTGGAAAACGAGGACTGTTATAGTAAAAGGATACATGACTTAGGTACGGCGTCATTAGCAGAGTGCTTGCCTCGATCTATGCATGTATATATGTTTTTTGTTTTTGTATAATTAGTATGTATGTAAATTATTTTCACTTCTCAAGGCTTGACATGCCTTCCAAATGAGTTTTATACAAATTATAAAAAAAAAAAAAATCATTTTGGTTGTTGTTGTTGTTAAATACATACTACATATGAGTAGTTAGTTTTCTTGATGCACTTACTTAGCTAGTATCTTAAAAACCTTGGAAGCTGACTACGTCGCACAGGGTGTTGCCTTACACATACATACTACATGTGACACACACGTTCGGGCATTTATGTACGGCTTTTATGTACGAGTCTGGGTATATAGGACATACATAAGTATGTATGTACTACATGTATGTTTCATTTCGTTTCATTGCACATAGTATAGTACTTCATGTGGATGCATATACATATACGCATACGTACGTATATATGTGTATGTATGTAAGTATGTATGTATGTATATTGCTTATGTATTTAGATAAATATGTATACATAATTATTTTATTATATTTATTCTTGTAGCAATATTTGTTAATGCATTTTATGCTTAGTGTATGAGTTCATTGTTTTTGTTCACGAATTTTCAGTTGGGCTCAGTTTTTGTGTAATACATATGTATAACTTCTCTAAACTGTTTTTGTTAATTAATCCTGTTGCTGCTGTTGCTGCTGTTACTGCTGTTACTGTCTCTATTTCTTCGCTCGTTTATTCTATGATTTGCAGTTAGTTGTTGTGTCTATTGCTATTTCTATTTCTATTTTATGCGTATCGTTTTTATTTAAAAATATGAAGACTCTCTAAAATCAGTTTTAAAAATTTACTAATATTCGTAGCTATATTTAGGTAATTGTATAGCATACACTTATGTGTGTACGCTGTGGTTTCTGTGACCGAGCCGCTGGGTGCTATTTGTACAACTGCCCCCGTTGTTATGCAACACTGAGGCGGAACAAACTCTGACGCTGAAAGTTCTCAAAGATGGTGGCCGTGTTGGATGAAGGCTCCGAAGGTCTGACATTTGTGGAATATTACAGATGCGTGAAAGTCTGTCGCAGGGAAGGGCTAAGCTAAAATATTTTCGGATTAAGCCAATCCGAATGTCTTTGCTTCAAGAGAAAAACAAGCAGCTGCATAAAACAATTGATTTAAATGCTACACTTCCTTAATATTTTGCTACTGAATAAACGCAAGAGTCCCCGCATGAAACTCAACATATTTTTTTCTGCAATGTTTAATGTAAGCATTAAATCCATCCGGATTAACAGAAGCTAAGAGAAATACTCGGACTGCAATTATTTCAGATTTGGCTATCAATTTGAAGATACTTGTAATAATCTGCATCCATTGTCCTTTTTCATATGTTGTCCAAGACAGTTTTGAAATCTCCGAAATAGTCTAAAAAAAGTTTAAAAAATATGTAAAATGTATGGGATAGCAAGCAATGCTAATGCTTTTCAAAAACTAAGCCAAGGTGAAAAGAATACATCAGACTAAAAAGAGGTATATAGTATACGAGTATGTGTTTACCTAATCATAATACTGTAATATAATTCTGTGTATATATGTAGATCAAATGGGATGACTAGGGGGAGGGGAGGGGAGGGGAGGGGAGGGGGTAACCAGAACTCAGTAAAATGCTCCAAGCTTTTGTGTTGCATACGACTACCAGGCACAGCATGTGGTGCTACCCGCAAACTCAGGTCACATTTTAATATTGCTTTTTTGAATGACACACAACCCTGTTGGATGGGCGCGAGGCCCATCGCTTGGTTGTTGTGGTGGTTATATTTATTTGTTATTTATTTAAATTATCTTTTGTTTTTGTTTTCGATTTTGTTTTTCTTCTTTAACTTTAAATACATATGTATGTATGCATGTAAGTATGTATGTAAGAATTGTAGTGAGAATAAGCTAAGTAGTCATCGGAAAAAATTACGCTGCTGAATTCGTTCGATTTCGATTCGGTATATCGTTTGCTGATCTTTAGTTTATATCTTTCCCATGCATGTTTGTTCCAGTATGTACCATGTATGTGGCACAACCCATTTTTACTTATGTATTAATTAGCTACGCACATATAACTATATACTTGTATACTCGCATTCGCGATATTACGAAATTTGTATGTATACTATGTGTATGTTTTTCATTACTATTATCATTAGTTTTATTATTTGTTTTGTTTTGCTTTGGTTTTATTTGTTTGTAATAAGTATTTGCTAACATTTATCCAATGTGTAAAAATTTGTTTTGGCTGCCGATTTGTTAAGAATGTGGTGCTTTTTGTTTTTGTTGTTGGTATCTGCAATGTTGCTGTATTTTGTATTTTGTATTTTGCGTTTTGAGTTTTGCTTTAGTATCATGGGCTACTCGTTTCTGCCTCAACCTCTGAATGTATTGCCAACGTTAAGGGTCATACATATTACAAATTACGCATAAGAACGAGCATATAATATTGTATATGTATGTACGAGTATGCATGTATACTGCATATGTATACATATACTATATATGTATATATACATATACTTGTGTATATGCTATGTCGTAGAAGTAACTGATTTGTTGTATTTTAAATGTATTTCACATTTTACTCATTCTTCGGCTTAGTTACATTCATACATATATTGTATATAAATTTTACTATAAATCTTTGCTTAAAAAATGTTACATTGTTTAAATATACTTTTTGTTTGTTTGTTTGTTTGTTTTTACATATGTATATGTATATATATTTAAAATTTGGTGTTTCAATTTGCGCACGCATCTCCAACCTTCTCCGACTTCGTCTTTGTCTTTGATTTGAGTCTCCCCTACTTAAGTACACGTACATGTCTTCAAATAAATTCATCTTGACAGTGCCTCGCGCCATGTAGATGTGGCCTTGCAGTAAGCACAGTTTTCACAATGGAAATGTTAAAGGAAAAGCAAAAATTCTGTTCGGAGAACGGAAACATGTCGTTACACATACGCGTATACTATACTATACTATATTATACTATATATACTTGTATAGTATGTACGAGTATGAGGCGACAATAAAAGTCTCTCACTATGTATATAAAAAGAAGTTTTAGGCTGCTTTTGTTTCGTATCCCTAAAGCTACAGACTCACACAGACCTATTGATTGCCGTTGGCCTACTTGATTTACAGAGACACAAACTAGATTACATATAAGAGAATATAGTAAGTAGTATGTTAGTGGTCTACATTCGAAAATAAGCACAGATGCGGAATCTTCAAAAATACCAAATCGCCGAATTGCCGAATTGCTCTTCGACGCAAAGGATGCGTTCCGCTCCTGGCTATCATTATCATCAATGTACTTATTAGTGTTGTGTTCAAAATGCATTTAAGTATGGTTCATAAAATCTAAGATACAAACATACATTCACATGTACACATCATACATACTACTTAGTACTGGAACGTATGTATGTACGGCGCATGACCAGTTTAAACTTATACGTTATAGATAGTAGTACAAGTAGTAGATAATCAAAACTTAGCTAACTGTTTCAAATTACAAATTTCAAATTACAAATTCACTTTTAAATGTATAAATGCGAGTGCTGTTGTTATGTTGAATTGTTCGTGAAATATAGTATATGTTTGTATGTATGTATGTATGTAAGAAGCAAATATTCTTCTGTCTGTTGTTTGTTTTCGCTTTCCATACAGTAGTAGTTTCTTTTTAAATGAAAATTCTCTGTTTTGAAGTACGAGCTAGCTGCACAGCAATAGTCAAATTTTTCCAGACTCGCACAAATGAAGGCTAGTCCTTTAAAAAAAAGAAAAGTAAATAATCCTGATGCTGCCAATTCGGACTTTCTGTTGCCAATTTTCTCTTGCTGCGTTTTCAGCTCGTGTCTCATGTTTGTGTTTCATGTTTCTGTTTGTCTGTGCAGTTGGTTGTATATCAAAATAAAGGAAAACAAGTTTTGTGTTTGGTTTTGGTTTGCTTAGTTTTGTTGAATACGTTCAACATTTATTTAATAATAATAATAAATAAATATATTTACTTGTAGATATATGTATATACTTATATATATATATGTATATACACACATAAATATGTATATATATATATGTATATATTTATATACATATGTGTACATACACATATTTGGTTTCTGTTTGGTTTTTTGTTAGTTTGTTTATATGCTTTCATTTTATTTATAAGTTATAATTATAAAAATGGAATAATAAGTAGGGATAATAATATAATGTAATACAATACAATACAATAAGTTTTGTTGCTTGCTTCCGTCTTTCATTATGTATCGTTTGGTTTTGTCATTTTTTCATTTTTTCCACATACATATTGGTATATTTTGTTGGTTTTTTTTTTTTTAGTTAGACGACAAAGAAAGTTACATATGCATCTATGCACAATTTATTTAAATACATTATGCATATCTGCATATCTGCATGTATGTATGTATGTATGTATGTTTGTATGTATGCATGTACGTACGTACGAGTATGTACTATATTGTTGCGTTTAAACACTTAATTGATAAGGGAAATTTATCAATTAGCACGAACGCGGCTCCCGTTAAGATAAAATCAGTGTGAATATAATTGAATATAAGTTAATAAGTACATATTGTAATTCATGTTAGGTGAATGCAATTAATTGGTTAAATTGAATTTAATTTAAGTATTAAACGAACACAAAAGTATACTAAAGTACATATATTAGTACGTAGGTATGTATGTATGTACGGTTTTCTTTTTTTTTTATACTCGTATATGTAGTTATTGTATGTATGCTGAGAATTATATAATGGTAAGTGTTAAAAATAGCAATTATTTGTATGCTGTAATGGTATTCTATGCTTGCACATCTTTTGCTTCTTAGTCTTTAAATGAATAAACATTAAATAATTTATTTAATTTATATTAATATTAAATTTAATATAATCGAATGAAATTTAATTAGAGTTGAAAAAAATCGACTTTAAATAGCATTTTTTGTTTTCCTTTATATTATGCTTTATGATTTTTTATGCAACATTTACCAATTTGCAATATTATGTGTAAGTTGTTTGCATTTTAGTTTAGTTTCTTGTTGTTTTGTTTTGTTTTGTTTTATTTTATTTGGTTTTTACTCAATTTAAAGACATTAGTCTGTTTTCTAATATTCTTTTCTTTTTGTTTTATATGTATTTGTTGTATTTGTTGCCTCATTTAAGCTTTGTTTGGTTTACTTTAATTTAAAGTAGGAAAAGAAGGGAATTCATTTTAGAACTAAATTAGTTACATGCGGGCTATGTGGCAGACAGTACTGATTCACTCGGAACGAGTCCTCGTCCCGCCTCCATCAGCTCTACCTTGCCCTGAATTGCATACATAAGTACTACACGTATATGTCTTTGCCTGCATAGTAGAAAGTAAATTTTAGCTAAAATTCCTTTAATAATATTCATAATAATTTGGTATAGCACAAACAAATTAATAGATACCCAAAAAGGTTGTACAATTTTGACTACGACTTGCCGCCAAGGGGTGTTTGGGGGTTTCTCTTGTAATCTGGTAATCCCGAATTAAATCATATAAGTAGTGTGTTAGTATATAGTCGTCGTGCGTCGAGCACAATCTCGCAAAGTCGCATGCGTGTTGCCTGTACAGTTTCTAAGTGGTTTTGGTTTTGTTGGTCTTAAAGCTAACCTGCAGCACGCGGTTGCCGAGTGTATAGCCATTGAGTGATTGTATGGCCACAACTGCCTCATCGTAGTTGGTCATTGTTACGAAGCCAAAGCCCTTGCACTTGCTTGTCTGCAGGTCGCGTATTACCTTCACCGATTGGACGGCTCCGAATGGTCCGAACAACTGCCAGAGCACATTCTCCTCGGTCTCGGGGGCCAAATTGTACACAAATATGCACCATCCGGAGCCGGTCATGGCATTGCCAGGCAATATTGAGTTAGCCAAGAGATCGCCAGCCAGTGGAGAGTATCTGAGCAATGCAGATGCGATGGATGCGGAGATTACGGAATGCAAGAGAAACAAATATATTAGAACTCGTTCTGTACGTATATTGTGATGTTTACATTTTATATGTAAGGACTCATATATATGAAGAGTTACACACGATGTTTATTTTTTGGTTTTATAAATTAATTCTTTTGTATAGTACATTTAAAATCAATCAAACAAAATTGTGTCAGTCCCTCAACAAAGGAAAAACATTGAATAAACTATATATAATTCTATGCTGGGTAGTTATGTGTTTCTTTTCCGTTAACATGCTTCAAATATAGGTACAAGTGTAGGGGCCACCATTACACCGTGCTGCCAATAATATTCGATTTTTATAGGGATCCAATCAATACTTATTCAGCATATTCAGCATAATGTAATCGTCGCCTAGAGCTTTTGCGGCACGGGGTTCTATTCGAACGAAACTACTTGAAATAAAATCAAAAAAGCATTTCGAAAAATATACAATATTACACAGTTATAGTTGCAAAAAATAAAACAAAAAGGGCACAACACTGTTTAAGAACAAATATACTAAAAGACATCATTTGAAAAGGCTCATAGCTTCGAATCACCGAAGCTCAACTTCCCTTGCAAAGTCCCCAAGCATTCCAAAATTATTGGTGAACCAACGTCTTTGATTAGTGAGTAATGATGATTGAAAAAATTATAGCGATATATAAACTCAAAGGAAATACTCAACAAAAACAAACATAAAACTACGTTAGAAAGGCATTTAATCTAAATTCAGTCACTGAACTTTTCCTGCTATAGGCTGCGATCACTAACCATAATAAACAACACCGCCGGTAAAATACTCTGACTTTCTTTCGACTTTAGGAGTACGATTTTATTTGAATATACCTGAGGATAATAAAACATTTGCAAGAGAATGTGTGGCTCGTTTGTTACTTTCTACAAATTTGTGAAATCTTGCGCATGCTCTCCAACCATTTCGAACAGAAAGTATATATGTATGTATGTATTTAAATGTACATACAATTTGAAACCAAATATAAAACATAGAAAGCTAAGATGTTATTGGTGCTAATCATACAAAAGCACGACAGTTTCCAGTTTGTACAGTCAAAAGACAAATACACAGAAATTCCAAACAATTTTATTGGTTGGCAATAAACTTAAAACGCAAATAATTCATGAAATTAATTGCACACGAACAATGAGTCTAAGCATATTAATATTTAAACATTTAGAATTTTGTTTAGATTTTATATTAAGATTCTGTTTAATTGCAAATTATTTGAATGCATATGCCAGTTAAATATTATTTGTAGTTTTATTTCATATTTTACTGTAGTTTTGTTTAAAAAATAAACAAAATAACAATCGATACATGTACGAGTATGTATGTGTAAAAAATGAATAAGTCAAAAAATTCACCTTTGTAAGCCCTTGTTAATCGCTAACATGGGACTTTTTCCAATGCTAAAAATGATGAGAAATTTCCAAAGAAAAAGTTGAAGACAAACCGAATACGTTAAATGAGAAGGCAGAAAAGAGAAACCAATTATACGTATACATCAAAGGAACAAAACAATTTAAAGGATAACACAATACAAGTATGTATAGTAGTTGCCAAATGGTTCAACCACGAACAAAGTATGTAGAAAGTAAGTACCTATGTACGAGTATAAGTATATAAAAATACATATGTTAGGTTTTAGTATATTTGTTGTCCAAAAAGTAAGTCAAAACAAGGAACCAAAGCCTATAATTTGCATTAACAAAGCATTCAAAGCTCCAATAGCTCCGTATTGAGATCTACCCTATTGGCTACGTTTGTATTATTGTCTGTATAGTATTTCTTATCGCACGAGCACTCCAACCCACATACATATTTACATACATATACAAACAGTATATGTACGTATGTATGTACAAGTATGTACTTTTGAGCAATAATGCTCAGCAGGAAGCGTCTCGTCGGTGGAGAACGTACAAATGTTAGGAACTGCCCCAGAAATACCCAATGTAAGTATAGCCAGATTATGTCTAGTAGTATGTCCTGTAACAATTCCTAGCCCCCTATGAAATGGTGTAAATACTGTGAGCTCATGGGTGGCTCATTGGAATACCAACCTTATACGTCCAGCGGATGGTAATGCTCCGGCCAACCGGCGTGTGGCGGCAGCTGCCTGGGGCGTCAAATATGCAGTTAATGGTGGTGCTATCTGGGCCTTGGCGCTATTGCTTGGATTGTTGGCAAATTTAACGGTTATCGGTTCGGCATAGCCCTTCGGTGTCTTGCCATTCAACTCCTGAATAGCACGTTCAGCTTCATTGCGTTGATCGAAGCGGATAAAACCGACACCCTTCGATAGACCTGTGAGCGAACAAACCGAGCCTTGGTCAGGACCCCAACAATTAAAAAGCTCGCGCGACAACTTACCAGAAATATTATCACAGAGTATACGAGATGTAATTATCTTGCCAAACGATGCAAACATCCCCTCCAAGTCTGGTTGTGATAGATTTTTCGGAAGACCCGATACATATAAATTAGCACCCTTTATAGATTCTGAACTTGGACGGGCGTATGATACTTTAATAACCTTATTCTGCAGACGCAGTCCGTTTAGGGTATTGACAGCCTTCTCCGCATCCTCGGCGCGTACATAGTTGACGAAGCCGTAGCCCAAGCTCTGACCTACAACAATTTATATAAATTAGTTTAGTCTTCGTTAACTAACAAAGTTGAAAGTATACACCGAAATATTTACTTACCTTGCTGAAGTGCCGGATTTAGTGCGGTCAGTGATGCTGGTAGGACTGAAAGGTATGTACGTCAATTAGGGAGAGCATTAGAGCAATATTTGCAAATAGGTTTACTCAAGTCTACTTACAAACTACTACTTGTATGTATGTACTAGTGTGTATCACTTATGCAAAATCGTGCTCGAAATAAAACACTTATCTACTGCGCATTCATTAAAAAGCTATAAAACAATTGGTGTAACTGGAACAAACAATGGAAATGTGTGTATGCATCCTATATGTGAACGCGAATGTGTTATTCGATATTTCGTCACGAAAGCCACAGAAACTAACGGTGAAGAAGATGGTGTGGAAATTGTTTAGCAAGCTCTCTTTCATACATTCTTCGATTATATTTATGGCCGAACTTCAACAATTATTGAGTCACAAATTAAATAGGATTGTTTGAATACAAGCAATCGAACTAACGCCTGATTTCAAAGATGAAAAATAATCGAAGTCGACTGCAGCTATCTTTCTTGATTCTCCTTGCGGTTTTATCAAAAAAAAATCGATTAACAGTTAACAGAACATAATTTAAATTTATTGTCATTTTCAGTGAAATCATCACTTTCAAGTAACGATGTCCTAATTCAAGTATGCGTTCAACTTTATAGAAATTATTAATTCCCCAAGAAAAAAGAGCGAGTTTAAGCAAAAAGAATAAACGTCGATTAAAGCGATTCTGAATCGATTCTTTTTGTATTTCTACATTAGAAATTGTGTAATCAAATTTTCTCATATTTAATAGGCATGGAAAAATTTGTCGTATCAGTCAGATTAATTTCTGCAAATTTAGCTTGTACGAGTTTGGTAAAGCTGGAATTTTAAGTTGTAGAATTTGCCGATTAAAAGCTTAAAAGAGCTGCCCTGTACCTTTATTTTTCTATGAATATATACCCTCATTATTTGATGGCCGTACAAATTTAATATGCATACTCGTAAATCGACTTGTATTTACTTCAATATCAACAAGAGAGAATGCTACAGTCGAGCAAGCCCGACAGTGTAATACCCTGTACCCAGGTAAACTTCCGTCACTGAGTTATATGCGCCCATAGCAGCAGCAAAAAGAGGAAGAAGAAGAGCGAACTTGTTGCTGCAGTTTGGGGGGGTTGTACTGGCGAGAATTTGTTTTGCTAATAACTTTTCTTAGAATTAACCGAATTGAACAACAGTAGACAATTATATATAAATTATGTGTGCAACATTTGGTTAGAGTAGCTTTTTAAATGTGGACGGTAATGACGAAATTCTGTAGCGGGGGAAGGGGGGCGAAATTCCAAAAAATAAAATAAACTCGTCCTTTCTCGGGCCTAGGAGAATCTGGATGCCAACTTTGGTTATTATAGCTTTTATAGTTTCTGAGATCCTCGCGTTCATTCGGACGGACGGACGGACGGACGGACGGACATGTCTAGATCGATTTCTCTCGTCATGCTGATTCAGAATATATATACTTTATGGGGTCGGAGATGCTTCCTTCTGTATGTTACATACTTTGCACAAACCTAATATACCCTTTTTACCCTACGGGTACAGGGTATCAAAAGGCATATGACGATACTCAACTACGTTTACAGCTTTATATATTTTAATATTATCCGAGTATTTTACCGTTTTGAAACTTTGGAACGCAAAAATGTGTATTAAATCTGATGCGATGGAAATATTATTGAAAAATTTCAATCTTCTTCATTATAAATGAGGTACAGTAGACAAAGAGGCATAGTTGCATTGAAAACTAATCAGAAGTGAATTAAACTCGGATTATTTTGTAATATGCCAGGAAAGTGTTTTGCGAATGTTTCTAAGATTTGAAAATATAAATGCTGAAATGAACTGTGGCACTATTGTTTTTAATCGGGCACTTTCCACTGAAACTGTTAGAATATTGAAAAAAAAACGAAGTTGTCTGAAACGTACTACATATATTTGTTTTAGCGACGCTAAAATTTTCGTTGCTCTTTATTAGTCGGTCAATAGTTAATTAAAATATATTTGTTGAGCTTTGTATTTACTTCAATATCAAAAACTTCTTAACGAGGGAGTATGATTTGAAAACTTTAGAAGATAGGTATAAGAAGAAGTCTGTCGAGAGATTTCTCCAGCAAACTAAATATGGATGGGTGTGGACTTGAATGGTCACACCAATCGACTATCGACTTAGCTTGGTGTGAAATATGTCATTATTGGAGTTGCTTAGGGTATCAGACCTTAAACAAATACATATGTATGTACATATTAAGTGGCATATTCGTATATTCTTGTTAATGAACTTGATTTTTAATAAGATGCGAAATTTAACAAAAGTAATGAGTCTACATTTTTGTGCAAAGCTAATGTTTGTGCAATATGTGTGAAAACGTTCCTACTTATACCTGACATACACGAAGGATTTTACATGGAAAGTTGTGTCCAAGTTTTTTTTTTTTTTTTTGTCAATAATACACTTCACACATGTTTGCTTGCTCACTCTTTGGTTAATTTATTATATATACTTGTATATCTATTTTTTTTATTACGTCCAGTAACTGTAAATTGCAATTTTTACTAGCATCTGTAATTTTTAAAGCTTTATCTATTTTCATCGCCAAAAGAAAATGATTACAAATCGAAACCAATTTCTTAACACATAAATACGCGAAATTATAAGAACAAGTTGAAAGAGCATATACAAGTAGATGCTCTACACTATATAGGGAATTTAGAAGAACACACAAAAGAATTCCGTTTAAATCTGCTCGTGTAAATCTGGTATATTTACTGAAGATAAATTTAAGTACAAGTATATTTAGATACACGTACTTAAGCTACAAGTACACATACACACATGATTGCTGATAGATTATAGATTACTTATAAATTATTTGATTAAAAATGAATTATTGGTCAATATTTACCCAAATTACCTGAGACTTTATCACGCACCAGTTTGCAACTCTCCAACTCACCAATGCTTGAGAAGAGCGAACGCATCTCCTCTTGGGTCATGGTTTGTGGCAGATAGTTGACAATCAAATTGGTGCGCGACTCATCATTGCTGCCATCGACGGAGCCGTTGGCACTTCCGTTCTTCACAATGTCCATGGCGTTGGTCATCGTTACGCTTTCTGTGCTCCGTTGGGTTCGGTTCGGTTCGGTTCCGTTCAGTTTGGTTCGGTTCGGTTCGATTCGGTTCGATTTGGTTTGTCTTTACTTGGAAAAGAGTAGCCGTGCACCCGTCTTCGTCTCCTGATTTGTGATTTTATTTTGTTTTCTTTTATTTATTTATTTTTTTTTTTTGTTTTGTTTATGTTTTCTTATTTTGTTGTTGCGGTTGTTTGTGCTTAGTATTTAATCTCACTGCTCGTTTGTTAAACTTAGAATTTAGTTCCTTTTTGGTATTTGATTGAGTTAAGAATTATGTTATGTAATAAGAGCTTTGATTGCGCTTTGCACAAATCCCCTTAAGTTTGCATACAAATAGTCGCGCTAGCACGTTCTCCTCTTCTTTGTAGCTGTTGTTGGAATGTTCGAGTTTCTGTTTCGCTCAGTGTATTTTGCGTTTTGTCTTTTTGGTTTGGGGTTTTAGATCAACTACGATCGCAAAAAAATGTTGTATTGTACATATATGTGTTGTATATAATATACCGCTCTTTCTTCTTTTCTTTTATATTTTTGTTTATGTTTTGCTAAAAGTTTAAAATTTAATTTAGGTATTCATCAATTTTTATTTCTCGTCTTAGTTAAAAGAGTAAATTTTGCTAATGATTTCTTTGTTTTCCGTTAAGTTTTGCTTTAGAGTGTTCTAACGTATATTTTGAGTATTTTTATGCGTTTTGGTTTTTGGTGTATGTGTGTGTGTGTGTGTGTTTTTTTTAATTTTAATTCCTTTTATATATAAAATTGCAAAAATGCAAAAAGACAGCAATAATGGTTTTATTACTTTTCTACTTTTTTTTGCTCAGTTTTGTTTTTTGAGTTTTTTCCTTGGAACTTAGTTTTGGTTTTTCCTTTCATTAAATATATATATATATGTGTATATATATATACTCGTATATATATATGTATATATTTGCATATACATATATTTAATTTTTGTATATATGTACCTTTAAATATGATTATTCGTTATGTTTGTTGCTGTTGTTTTTGTTATTAATATTAAATTAATAGTAGTTGGTTTTATTTGGTGGTGTTTGGTTTTTTCGCTTTGCTTTGTAGCTGTTAAAAATTTAGCATTTTTTCTTTTCGTTTTAGTTGTTTGTCTTTTTGTTTTGTTTAGGTTTGTGATAAATGATAGCTGTTCGATTGCTCGCTCGTTTTACTTAATCTGTAAATGAAAAAAGAGATCAAATATCAGATGCATGTACACATAATATTGTATAATCGAATTATGGTTCAATATTATATATACTTATAAATACTTAGTTATATTAGGAGCTTCAGAAATGCGTAAACACAAACCGTCTGCCCAAGTCCAAAGTTCCAGATAAGCATTCGTCCCACAACACCGAAATGTTCGCTAATATTGTATGTATTGTCTGTACATGCATACATACGTACATACTTATGTACATAACGACATCAAAGCGTGGAGAAAGAAATATTAAGGCAATGGGGAGCCAACGGCTTGTGTTTACTCAACGACATCGCTGACATTTTTTTGTAAGCAAAAAAGTCAACTTAATGGCTTGGAATTTAATTAAATTGCTTTTCGCGTGGCTTCGTGTGCTTACATACATACTCGTATGTATGTACATGTACAAGTATATAAATGCGGAGTTAGCAAAATGCATTGCCACAGCCCTCGACATGGCCATAGATACACATTAAAGCAACAATAATCGCACCGCCTCTTGAAGCTCGTGGGGTGGTAAGCGGCAGAGCTTCGGCTTTCATATGGCAACTGCCTCATCGCAGCCCGCTATTTCTGCGATTCAAGCGTATTTCTTTGGCTGCGTCGCCGTCACCGCCGTGTTCTATGCAATGCCATATGTGCGTTATCACTCTTCTGGGCGCCACTTGACATTTAATGCCTTCCCCTGGCTGTCGGGCAAACGAGATTTTCTGATTTCTGCCGAGCGAGCCATTTTTGCGTCCAATATATTCAGTTGCATGCTGACGCTACATTGGTTTCATGAAAACTGTGTTGTACATGAATTTTCAGTAAACAGAGCATTTGCCGAGCATAAGAGCCATCCAAAATTTTTCCAATTGCTAAGCCAACACTATAAAAATCTCCATGTCCATGTACAATACTTTTTCAAATGTCTAAAGCTCTTACATAAATACTTTGTGAATATCTGTCTGTCAACAACAAAAGAGTAGCGTGGTTTGGCAAATTAAGGTAAGAAAATTCAGCTACGTTTTCTAAACAAAATATTATAGAAATATAATATAATAATATACCCTGTACCCAAAGGGTATATTAGTTTAGTGCGTATGTATGTAACACACAGAAGGAGGCGTGGCAGACCCCCAAAAGTATATATACATATTTTTGATCAGTGTGACAAGACGAGCCAACATAGCCATGTCCGTCTGTCCGTCCATCCGTCCGTCCGTCCGTATGAACGCACGGATCTCGGAAAATGTAAGAGCTAGAATAACCAAACCGAGAAATTACGAGTTTAAGCTTTTTTCGATGCTTTTTTCCCTACTTCCCCGTTATTAGGGATTTTCCATAACTCCGGCAATTCTTCGAATTTGAAATCGATTAATTTTTTTTTTAAGTTGAGCCCACCCGACTTTAGCATTCCTTTCCTGATTTACTTCATTTTGAAATATCAGTCCCTGATGCATCTGCCTTGCAAAGGTGAGGTGAAAATTCATCACCATTATAAAATTTTAATAATAATTTCTTAATAGAGTATTCCTTAAATGATTGAAATATTGTACGCCTTTTCTGCCCTGGCGTATTTCATGATAATCAATCGATGCCAATCGATCCGAAGCAATTTTCGCATTTTTATATGTAATACAAGTATTTTTTTAGATTTCAAGCTAATGCTTATTTTTTTTGGAAATATTGCAAATCGGCTAATAACCCACCATTTTCGCAATTTCTGCTAGTTGTTTCGTCCATCCCAGAACTGATTTATTTTTAGTGAGTGGTCTAAAATTCGTAGTTCTGAAAATAGCATCTACTATATGTATCTCTTATGTTCATAATCATTAATTGAATGTGCAACTCGATATGGAAGTTCGATTGGAGGCCGATATGGGACCGCGATTTAAGGGTTGCAAGCGGCCGAAGCGGTCAACAGTGAGAGCGGCAGAGTGCGAGAGTGCGACAGTAGGGGGCAGAATAAAGTGGGAGAGTTTGAGTCGATAGTTTGCTCAATTTTCCCTTGCAGGATGCCTTTGTTTGAGCTTCCTTCTCTCTGCTGTGTGCGTGTGCTTGTGTGTGTGCCGGCTTAGAATTTAAAAAAGGACCACTTTGGAAATAGGGTAAAAACCTGACGCGCAAAACAAACAAGCCGCCCAGCATAGCCTGCCACATGTACGTATATGTATATGTATGTGTGTGTGTGTGTGTGTGTTTGTATGTATGTATCTACTCGTAACATTTCAGATAGCGCAAGCCGCGAGGTCATTGAACTCTTCCTCGCCCCGGTCACCAATTGACTTTGCTTGGCTGTTGCGTTTTCTAGTTTTCGGTTTTTGTTTTGTTCGGTTTCCCCCTGCATCCTTGTGGCTGGGCCACGACGAGTCTACGTTTGTTGCCACTTGCATTTATGCTTCGAATGTACATACATATGTACATACATACATATATACATACAACGTATGTAGTTGCTGTTGTTGTTATTGACGCTAGCACGCAGTCTTAGCTTGCCAACCGAGCAACTTATTCGCAGCCAACAGCTGTTTAGCGACATCAAGAGCCAATGCTCTCACACTTGCACGTTCCTACTCGGGCATATGTACATACTTGTATGTATGTGTGTGCATGTCTATGAATGCATGTGCGTTTACATGCAACTGTGTTTGTGCTTAGTGTGGTAGTATCTGGCGAGTGCAATGAACCCTGACGGCAATCAGATGTTAACTTCAATCACCTTACCAGGACAACATCTCAAACATCAGAGTTGAAGCGACGAATGAGGACCTTAAACTCAAATACATACATACATATATGTATATGTGCATCCATATGCACTTGAAAAAGGGCAAACATACATAAAGTAAGATCTAAGCGGTGGCAAAAGGGTATCAAGAGTGTAGAAATATGCAAACAAACAAACAAACAACAATGACAGCATGCAAGCCACTAACCAAGCAACAAAAAGGCGCCCAAACAAAGGAAGTGCAGAACGGAGAACCAGAGAAACAAAAAGCCGAGTGGGGCGACGCAATACATACATACATACATATGCAGGGGCTTTTAATTGTACAAGTAGACCGACATGGCGTGACACTGCATAATATGTCCTGACCCCTACTACGAGGACCCCGCCAGGAACCGCTTGCCTCCTCTGCAATAAAAACATATGCGACAAAGAAAAAAAGAAACAAAAACAGAAAAAGCAAGCAAAAATGTGTAATTGACACTTTTTCGCCGATATCGGTGACCTTGTTAAAGATGTGTGTCGCACATTCTTGAGGTTGGTCAGGCAAGTCTGGGCTGCGTGAAGTACTGATTACGTTTTATACCCTGTAGCCAAAGGGTAGCCATGTTCGTTTGTCCGTCTGTATGAACGCAAGGATTTCAGCAAGTACAGCAAGTGTTTAGCTTCTCTTGATCCCAATTGAAGTGTGCATTACAAAAGGATTCTAGCATTCAAATCTTGTTTTTATTTAACTTATCATAGAGTATTTGGACGAGAGTATGATTAAGGTACAAATATTTTGGAAATGCTTTGAAGTGAAGGGTACTTTATTTACTCCCATCAATAATTATTAAATAATTTTTTGTTATTGTGTTATTTTACAGGTTTTGTTGCCATAAAGACCCAATTTGTATTCATTTAAGACAAATCCAAAGTTTACACACTTTTCCACAAAACGTAAGAAAATGATATTTGTAGAACAACAAAACCCTTCTTTGCACCACCACTCATTACTAAAGGAAACGTTTATCCGAAGTTCAGCTATCTATCCCTCTCCACAGACTACTGTGCTCCCTACACTCCTTTTTGCACCGTCGTCCCTTCTCGGGAAGAATAGAAGAATCAACAGTCCGTAACTCGAAACGCTCAACGGAACTCTGTAATCTAAATAAAAGCCACTGCTCGGCTGTGAATAGGTGGGCACCCATGTCGCCAGAATACGTCTTTCCTACAACGACTTTCGTCGAAAATGAAATTTACTACTGAAACTGGTACAGGGTATATAATAGTCGAGTGGGCGCGACTCTATCCCTTAACTACAAATGATTGTCGTTGATCAAAATACCAATTGCATATTTTCATAAAAGGAAAAAGGCAATGAACAACGAAATGTTCGAAATTGATCTCCAAATTAATGCCAAGAAAAAGATCGTATCTCACGCCGCTGTACTTAACTCGTTGATCTTTGCCGAAACAGCATACAATTCATCCAACACCGAGCGTATTATCCGCAAGATACGACATTTAAATATTTACATATACTCGTAAATATAAGCCTTTCATAGAAATCGAGACAAAATCTGTAATTTCCTGGTAGATTGATACTTTAGGATTGAAAAATATTATTATTTATGTTAAAATATCTAGAAACAAACAAATAAGAACACTCTGTGAGACAATTGAAAGGAATTTTTTATCAAAACTGTTGTAAAATTCGTTAAATAATAAGATAAAAATCAAAAATATGAATCAAATGGGCGAATGGGCGAATTCACCAGAGTAATTTGATCATTGATCAGTCCCTACTGAATGAAAAACAAACCAAACTTAGTGATCACTTAAAATGTACCATAAAAAGAGTATAACACATCAGTGATCACTTTCCCTCAGCTGCTACTTCATTTAGTCAAAGCGAATTTGTTGACGATATTGTCGATGATAATTTTAAAATACAAGTATACTATATTCGTGATCTTACAAGATTCCAGTACAATTGCAAAATGTTGGGCATACAAAAACCCAAGGAACTCTGATCGCATTCAAATAACTTTTATGAACGGACAGTGACTTGACTACAGACTTGACCAATTTTTGACCTCAGAACGAGTCGGGCAACTTTACAAAACTAAATGCATCATTTCCTAAGAATAGAATATTTCATTTAAGTGTATATTTTTTCGTATGAATTAAAAACTAAATAGAATTTTTAATTTAAGTGTATATTTTTTATACGAATTAAAAACTAAATATGATATGATTAATAACTTAAACTTGCTGTTTTCATGCATAATCTCTATGCCACTCGTAATATTTAACGGCGTTGCACTTAACACATCTATGATTGGAATTTCGAGGGCGCAGTATATTGAACTAAATTACCAGTGGACTAACCAGGGAATATCAGTGATCAGTAATTTAACTGATGAGTGATCAGTTTTCTGCTGGGAATGCGCCCAATGATTCTTGATCAGGATGATAAAAATAGTCCAGGTCCGTTTGTACAAGAACTGAATCACTAGCCTATACGTTCGCTTCAGTCTGAGACACTCTTAGACCACCTCCCCACTCCCGCAATATGGGTATGGTTTCTTTTTTCGTGGAATTTTTAATCAAATTAATTATATTCTGTATGTTCGTGCTAAGTTTTATCGAGAAAGGTCACCTCTAATGATTTGAATGTTTCCGTACGTGTTGTATGTATAGCCTTTGATTTGTTATTATACCCAGTATAATACCCAGTATATAAGGTATATAATACACAGGACGAGTTACCCTGCAGAGTACTTATATACGTGTATATACATATATAGTCATACAAACATTCTTGATCAGAATGACAAGACCTTTGTGTTATTTCTCTCGATTCACCGCCCCACTCCTCTTATATTAGTGAAGTTGTTCATAGTTCCCGTTATTATTGAAGATGTTTACCCAAATTTAACTAGTATAGAACATCCTGTTAGTGTTATGTCCTCATGCTCTGCTATATACAGTGAGCAAAAAAAGTTTAAGTACACTTTGGGCTTTAAGGAGATTTCGATAAAATTAGTAGCTTTAGGAACGAAAACGCATACACGTACTTATATATATAAGTCGTAGAAAATAAATTCGTGCTTACGTCTAAGCATACAAAACAACGTCGCAGGTCAAGTGCTATAAATACGTCGACCTTGGTGGCATTCACGTCCGAAGCGGCTTAATGTAGGAAAGCTATAGTACACTGAGGCAGAACTAAACAACCTTTACATATGTACGAGTATACTAAATGCCGTAACGCCACATTGCAGTCCTTATTGCAAGTCGCTTATCTTTGAATCGATCATTTCGAAGTGTTGAACTGTTTATGACTTGACCAAGTTAACAATTCGAGCTCTTTTAAATTTTTAAGGCATGTTAGTGCCCTATCTCGAACTACCTACCGGAACTCAGTATACTTGTATCCATCCGCAGAGGAAGTTTATTACAAACCATAATGTTCACTTTAAGAAATATTGCTATTTATATATTTTGTATCATACCTCATCGCATAATTATGTTTAATCGAATTATCATATCATGAGTGAGTCAATTTTGTCGGCTTATGTTGATAATCGTATACACTGTTCCCGAAGGATAAATAGGGTATATAAGGACTGTGCGAGAAGAAAGCACGACGAGAGAAATCAATTCAGGCCAGCCGTTCGGTCGGTACGTCTGTCTGAATGAACGCCTGGATTTCGGAAACGGCTGGGTCCACATCGACCAAACTTGGTGTGAAGACTCTCCTTATCCCCAGACAATACAAGTTTTTTTTTTTTTCATTTTTGCTCTCTACTGAATTTTGTCAACACTGACCACAATTCTAAAGCTAAATAATGAATAAATAATTATCTACTTCAAATCGGTGAGTTCTAAGAAAAGTTATTAGCTAACCCAATCCACTCCAGTGTTGCACCCATAAATTGCAGGAGTTCACTCTTCTTCTTCTACGGATATAACTCAGCTGCGGAAGTTTATTGGGTAAAGAGTATTTCGCTGTCGGACTGCTGGACTGTGGAGTGCTCTCTTGTTTGGCTCAAATTTTGTCATCGAACTTAGTTAAAATATAGATTTAGACTTAAATAAGGATAAGGGCCCGGGGACATTATCTTGGAGAAATAACTGAAATACGTTATACTTTACTTAAGGAGCATTACTTACAGCTTCTCAGTAGACGTACGCACAGATAGAGGCGAAAGCTCGACGGAGAAATCGAAAACTTCCAGTAGTTGGGGGGTGAAAACTGTCACTGTCGTAAAGTGATGTGTTGGCTATTGATTACACGTTATCTCGCCGACTCGCTCGCACCGATGACAGAGAAGTATGGCACACAGGCTTTATCACGCCTTTGACCGTCTCACTCGCACAGCCTATCCTGGCCCGCTGACTGATAATATATTCGATGATACGTGTAGAGGAACTGCCGTAAACCGGCAGATACTTCGCACGACACAATAAAAAAAATTCTTAAAAAAATGCTATGCACAGATATTGCAAATATTGGCTAGGGTAGATGGTGAACACAGTGTTTGAAATAAAGTTTGACTAGCTAGATATTGATGAAATTTATCTTAAACCTTAAACATAGACTTTGGGGTTGTTACGGCTTTCGCGATTTTGAAATTATTGCAGTTTATGGCCCGACACAAGCGCAAACAAATAAGAGTTTATAATGCAGGAGTAGAATTTGGATAGAGCACGGGTGGCTTTGGCTTAGAAAATGCTCACAGCTTACAGTTATTTTATGCTGCTGGCTTTATTTATAATGTTTGTGTGTATGTGTGTGTTGTTTGGAAAAAACCGAGAACACAACAAATTCCTAACTGAATACAACACAAAAACTGGTGCAGAGGAGTCAAAAAATTATAAATGAATGTTCTCGAATGAGAAACACAACCGAATGGAATCAAAACCGAACGAAAGCAACGAACGAACACGTACGACTGAACGGGCGACAGGATACCAAGCTGGCAGCCAAGCAAACAACTAGACAGCAGCGAACGACAGCAGCGGCGGCGGCGGCTACGACTGCAGCGCTCGGTGTATCCTTTTGACGCCCCATGGCTGTCAAACGCTATCCTTTCGGAGCGCCAGCAGAGAGTACACGCACACCAGAGCCAGCAACCACCGTTAGTCCTCAGCCACAAAATCGCCGTCGTATCACGCTGTCTTGCTTCGACATGTGGCTTACAAGGCCCCAGCCGACTGGTACACACCCTTTCGAGCGAGCGAGAAGGCAACATAACAGAGTTTGAGAGAGCGCCTACCTAACTGCATACTCGTACGTGTATGTGTGAATGCATGTACGTTCGAATATGTGGGGGCGCGTGCTTATGCAGTTGGGTGTAGGCGGTGGGAGCAGCGTTCGCTTTGTTTACAGCATGCAGAAACGAAACGGACCGGTCCGATCGGACCGGACCGATGTGGGCTACCTACCTACCCACACACACCCATGTACGTGTACATTATATTTTCAATAAGTTAATTAGCTACTTCTATTTTTATATTTACAATACTATATACATACTGTGGCTTCTCGGTATCGTTTGGAATAACTTAAATATACTTAAGACAGAGAGAGAGAGAGAGAGAGAGATAGTACAGCTAGCCGGAAACATACATATGTAAGTGATCAGTGGCCGATCAGAGCGTCAATGCTACTTCAAATAATGGATTTCGAAATTAGCGGTTTTTTACTCATTCTATTCAATATCCGACCGGTAAATAAGATTAAAGATTTTTAAACCATTTCGAATTGAGTCAGAAGGCAAGAAGTTCCCCCAACTCCAAATGGCTATTAATGTATATATGTATGTATGTGCATACTATGTATTTGTATATTTTAAATACAAATTAATCTATGACTTGTAGGGTTGAGCTGTTACTGAACTAACTAAATACCCTAACTTACTGAACATACCTAAGACGTACACATTTTCATAGAATTTGAACTAACGAATTAATTATTTAATTTGTAAACGCTTGTTTCCCAACACTGAAAATAGTAGCGAATTTAGCACAAAATTGCAAATCTGCTTTGGAGTCCAAGGGACCGGACCGACTGCCCCCACAGATCTAAAAATATTTTGCAAGTTCGTCGCATCCTGCGCTTGTACGATCTCGAGCGAATTGCAGGAAGCGTACGCTTCGCCTAAGTGCAGGAAGTGATGCTGAGGAGTGCGCCCTCACTCTCTCTATCTCTATTTCTATTTCAATGTTCTAAGTATACACATATATATATATATATATATATATATAGTATATATTTATATATAAATATTTATTTATATATATTTATCTCTCTCTCTCTCTCTCTATTGGTCTTGCTCTGTCTCCACAGTAAAAAATACACACACACACACATAAAGAGAGCGCTGCTCTCTCATTGAAAGGACCAGCTACCCACCTACCGCCCAACTGCACACACAGCTTTTTGTTGTTGTGTGCCTTTAAGGATATTCGTAGCCGGCAACCGCTGCTTCGTTTTGTACTCGTCGCAACAGCGGCATGGAGCACCTTGCATTGCCTCAGCAGCAGTCCATTATCGGCACACTCCCACTCACATACACGCACAACCCGACACTTGCCCCACTCACACACACACTGACGCACTCTGCTATCGTACAATAAATAATGAAATTTCTACATACATACATACACACATACATTGGTTAGGCTTGACGACAATCACGATGATGATGGCGACGAAGACGACAACAACAAAGCCGGGAAGTATGTTTTGGTAGCTTGAGTGGCAACCATTTGCTTGTTTAAAGGATTTCATGTTTTGCATTCGCATTTTTTCTTCATGTTCGCTTAGGCTCTTAAAGATAATTCCTTTTATCCTTTGACCCAATTCGTTTAATTTTGCGAGGGCGTTGGTTTCTTTGGCTTCTGTGCTCAGTTTCTCACGTTGTACTTGTACTTGTGTCAGAAATAAGCGGGCATTGGCGGAACACGATGATGAGGCAGTTTATTGATGACAGAGTGGGATTTATTGGACTCCTTGGTTATTGCCTATTGCCATTGCCATTTAACGTTGCTTTTACGCTGCTTCTTTCAATGTAATTAGATTGTGAACGGTTTTCCATGCTGGCCCGCGCCCTGTCCTTAATCAACCCATGAACAGAGTGCATTTTCTCGTATCTATTACATACATATGTATATTACTTCAGTCTTTGTATATGCCAGTCCCGCTATGTGGACGCGTTTATAAAAAAAAAAAAAAAAAAACCGAACTAATTGTGTACGCAGCAACAACAACCCTTTGGGCACCATTTCAGAAATAAAGCCATATGTCTTCATTTTCTAAACATTTTCGACTCATATGCACAACACAAATGTCAAAACGCCACTTTATCAAAAAGTTTCATAAAAACAAAAGAAAAGGCCGGCGTTGTGGCAGTGGTCTCAAAACTAGTTTACAGACCGGGCTGACTGAAAATCAAATGAGGGACATGCTTACAATAGCCCGTCTCTTCGCAGAACCAATTGCTCAACATTAGACCCAGTTGTAACACTCTTGTTGCCAAACCACCACCAAAAACCACAGATAGCCACCGGCGCGACGCGTCGCCGACAACGATTGCAGAGCGATGTCAATGCGTCAGTAATTTAGCGCCAACAGATCGAGGTCCCTTCGAAGATCCTAGGTTAATCAAGTGGTGCACAGCTTTTAAAGATCAAAGATCCCAGGTATACTCGTTATTAAATTTGCCAATAGTAGTTTATTTTTTATGATTCTTCGCACAACGTTCAAAAAGCTGTTGGTGCCCCCACATATAGTTCAATTCACTCCACACGAATTGCGAATTACTCTCAGACCTATTATATTATTATTATTATTATATTTTATTATATTTGCATATTCCGTTATTATAGAGATTGAATATCTATAATTTGTTTAATTTTATATTATAATTCGACATGATCACATAAGAACCCTAAAAAGATGTAATTCTGGGAGGGAAAAATCACTCAGCTAGGGAGTGCTCCTCCCCTACTGCATCGGGGAAAAAACACAAACTCGACCTGATTCGCGCTTAATGAAACATGAATTCCATGCTTGGCTATTTCGTACTTTTTAAGATCTCTGCATTGATACACACAGACTGATGAATGGACAGATGGACAAGGCTACATGGACTCATCTTGCCATACTGATCGAAAAAAATATATACACATGTACATATGTACATACATACTCTGTGGCGTCTGCCATGCCTCTAAACTAGTATTCGTAACGCTCCACCCAAGAACTCGTTCGTCACCATACGAAATTTCTGCCTTTATTTCTAAGAACATTAGTCAGAAGAAATTACGAGTATGTCTAAAGTATTGTAAATACATATTGAAAATTAAATTCGTGCGACACGATATTAGGTTAGGTTATACCGGTGGATTAGTGTCGCCAAATATTGGAGATCAGTCCGGTGAGCGGTTTAATGCGAGAGTGGTCCAAAATGTTCTATCCGGGACGTGAAGACGACCTGCTACATTTATCAAGTTTTGGGATTGTGAGGCATCTTTTAATGTGTTTCTCCCAAAATTTCAGCCCCATCGATAGTAATATCAAATTGGAACTAGAAAAGAATGCTAAAGTCGAGCGACCTCAGCTCTTAAATACCCTGTACCTCCCACTAAAAAGGAAAAAATGAAAATAAATTTTTTTTATAAAATAAAAAAAAATTTATAAATTAAATTAAACTCGAATTGCGGAGGAGTGGGGGAGGGGGGGGGGGGGTGTATCAGAATTAAAAAATAAACTTGACCTACCTAGGGCTTAGGGGAACCTGGATACCAAGTTTGGTAATTCTAGCTCTTGTACATTCTGAGATCCTTGCGCTAATACAGACGGACTGACGGACGGACGGACAGACGGATGGACGGATATGACTATATCGACTCGGCTTGTCACCCTGATCAATAATATATATACTTTGTGGTTTCGCACGAAACTAGTATAGCCTTTTACCCTTTGGGTACAGGCTATAAAAAGCGGAAGATCGTACGGTATTAAGATATTTGTTTCTAAACTCAAATCAAAAGCTAGATAGACGCTGTCTATTGAACTCTTCTCCATTATTTTCAACTATTAAGAAGAAGATGAGACACATCTGGGACGCGAACTAGTTGTATAACCTCTGGCGAGAACATCACCACAATTCACCAAGTGGTTCTGGACGACCGCCAAATCAAAGTGAGAGATAGAAATAGCTGGGCTCACCAAGATATTTAAATACCGCGTTTGCCATATTTTGAACTTTGATTTGGACATGAGAAAGCTCTCGGCTGGTTGGGTGCCGCGTTTGCTCACTTTCGATCAAAAGCCTGTTCGTATTAATTGCTGCAAGTCTCTCTTGGCCTTGTTTAGGCGTTATAAATAGGAGTTATGTCGCCGACTCATCATTGTGTATGCAACATGGATTCACCATTATGCTCCAGAAACAAAATCCAATCAAAACTGTAGATTGCGACGGGAAATCCGCCTCCATACGAAGCCTAAACTGTTCCTTCGGTTGGAAATGTGATGGCGACAGTTTTTTCTAATAGTCGTTGTATTTTATACATTTATCATATTAATATATATTAATTGTACGAGCAGCACTGAGCAGCTTTCGTCCAGGGTGTCCGTCATCTTGTTGTCCTCAATGCCGTTTCTCTTAGCTTGTCTAGATTTTCCAGTAGAGGATGGATTGCAGATTTTCTCTGCCTAGTAATTATGTATGTACTTTGTACCTATGTTTACAATAATTATATAAAGTGTAAAAAATTAATTAAATTGAAAATAAATATAATATATAATAAATAAAAACATACTTGATCTGGCTAGGGCTAGGCTCTCGAAACCAAGTTTGGTTATTCTAGCTCTTGTAGCTGCTGAGTTCCTTGCTCGGCTCATACAGACAGATGGACGGA